CCTATGACCAAAGTTAGATATCATTTATAATCGATAGTGAATTTGCGGTTGCGAACAATAAATCGTTCTAATTATGCACTGAACTGATCACTGTCTCTATGCCATAGACTGTACTGGGGTGGTTATTGATGAACATTTGGCAAATTTCACCAGAAAAAAAAATGTCACTTTAAATGTCGAAGATTAATGAAATGTGCCTGTTTGAAATCTGTCACATGCATAATATCACCATTCAGATGCTACTTTTTGTCTCTATCTGCATCTCTATATCTCTCTTTCTGTCGCTTCATGCAGTTTCAGCTTTTGTTTTCTTTCACTGCGTTCGATTCATTCATCGAAAATGAAAATGACAACAACGAAAAATAGAAAGAAAAACCAATAATTGTATTCAAAACGATCTATCTACGAAAAGCAAGCTGTCGGCATGATTGTTGGCTCATTCCAAAGAATGAAGTGAAAACACACAGAAAAAGACACAACAAATCAAAAGTAGAACACTTCGAACTGTATAACGATATGGAATCAGTGTGAGAGTCATTATCATATTTGTAGCAGCTAAACTGCCTTGTCAAGTCCATTTCCACAGTATTTGGTTTGATTTATCAATTGAAGAATGGCGCGCTCACACGCTTGCTTATTGCCGGTGCCTCTTTCGCACAATCCATCGAAATGAAATTGTATTCAACAACTAAGTAGTAAAAGTGGATTGCGAAACGTGATCAACATTGCAAGGCGCCAAGGGTCGATCGAATGAGCACCTCTCCATCGATCGAATGCGACAAAAAAAAAATTACTATACAATTTGATTAACTTGATAGATAGTGCATACAATTTTAAGTAAACATTCTGTTTTCCTAATCACGGGTGATGTGTCATGATGTCATGTTACTTCAATTAAACGCCAACGGTAAGATTTGATCAATTTATTGCTTATTCCGAAGAAATGCAATAAAACTGTAAACATCGTCAAAAATCTGAAACTGAAAGCGAAAAAAAAAAAACGTCACGATTATCGATTGATTTTGGGCCAACAGATGCACGTCAACTTTCTACGAAAAACTATATTTATTGAATGACGCGTCAGTTTACTAACAATCCATTTCGAATGCTATTCGTAAGAACTGTTCAATTAATATCGAGAAAAAAAAACCAGCGAACAACACGAGAACGAATTAAATAACAACAACAACAGAAAAAAATACACGCCGTCGAAGCGATAAAGTTGTGCCGACAACAGCAATCTGATCAGCGAACTGTGGTCATGCTCACTTTAAATGGAACGTTTTTTTTTGTCGAACTTTCAGCCCCATAATAGAACGGGAATGAGAACAAGATGGAAAGAGAGGGAGAGATAGAGAGAGAGAGAGAGAGACGGAGAGATAGACAGCGACGATCAACCGGCTTTTGTTTATCGCATATTGCATTTGGTTGCATTGTGCAACCGTTCACAAAGCGACAAAAATCAATGAATCCGCATCAAGCGAACAGGCAATTTTGATAACAATTCCAACCGAAGCGAGTGTATTATCGATCCGTCATCACGAATACGTGCATGCGGTGACGATATAAATTTTTACTGCACACTGTATCGAAAGCGCTGAAAAAGCGCCAAAACTCCGACTGAATAAATATTTATCGTAAAATGAAACATTCATTTCAGTCGCAAATGCAACGCCGGTTTTTACTCAATTTCACTCTCTCTCCCTGTCTCGCTCTCTCTGGTCGTGCGTGCTATGTGTCTCTGTCGCATGTTCACGTTTTGTATATAAAATTATATTTTGTCGTGGCATTTGCCGGTGTGAGCGCTCGCGCGCGCTCACTCGTTAAACGTGTGTAACGTATGCAGCAGCATGGATCCGGTCGATTCCCCTCTCCGTTGCGTCCCCTGAATTCCGTCGAAACTGAAAGCGAATCCGAATATACCGAACAGAGAAGAAAAAAAAACCATATATGTCTATGCGTACCGATGTATGTTTTGCCTAACGTACGGCTCTCGTCTCTCCAGCCATTGGATTTGATTCCTAAAATTTTCAATGAAACATTACACGATTCAATTGCGTGTACATATATCGAAAATTGCACCACATCACGAAATTGTTTGCCATAAATTGTGAAATATTTTGCGATCAATTCGAGTTCTCGAAAATCAAATTTAATGGATTGGAGCGTAATGAATGCGTCACGACTGCATTTCGTTAGGAAAGGTTGCGGTTCCGTGCGGCAACAACGCCTAAACACCGACAATCACACATATACACAAACACACACCAAATGTATGTATGAAACGAAATGAATAGCATGTGACTCGACTCTATATACGAGTAGCCTACGCGAGTAATGCCGACATCACCGTTGCCATCATCATCATCGCCGCGCAATCCAACGTGGATTTTATCGGCATTTTCTATGTACACTTATATAATTATGTAGAATTATGTGAGACGATCGCGCGTGTATGTCGATTTGCACATGGCACAAATACACTTGTACAGCGGAAAACGCGACATACACTTACACATATCGCGCCAACACATGCAACACGCTTGCCGTGGGAATCACGCAGAACAAAACGACCAACTCTTTTTCTCTCTCTCACTCTCTTCTCCGGTTAGAGAGCGTTTCGATTTTTTTTTTCTGTCTTTAATTCTTAACACTTTCGCAATTGGATTTCAAACGAGAAAGTATTTCGGGGCCTTTCTTTACAGAGACAAACTAACCGGTAATTCGATTAAATTCCATTGCATACGCTATGATAAGCCGCCCCGAAAAAATACTAACACTGATAAGAACACTGGCTCCAAGCACTAATCGATCTAGTTTTTTTTTTTTTTGGCAAAAGTCAACATATATTCAAGAGTAGTAGCAAAAACCACTTTAGAAAGAGATTTGTATCCGAGTGTAGATTTATCAATTATTAATCAGCTTGAACGTTCTGATTCGATGTAATTTGCCAAAGTTTGCGTTTCGATGTGGCACAGATATACATCAACCGTGGACGTCGTTGGAAATCGATTGAAACCAATTTGAAAATAATGACACACGACTCGAGAATCTTCATTGTTCACGAGTGCCAAATGTGAGACATCAAAAAGCCATTTGCACCGATCATAAATCAAGTACGAATAATCTGATTTACCATTCATAAACGCTTCCCTCTAGCACACCAAATGGTAAAAGGTCCTATACTGCTATTACTACTGCCATCCATCGACCGATCTACTACATCCCTTGCAAATAAAAAAAAAAACATTGCGATTCAGTGAGCGAAAATGGGCATGAATTAGAGTATCAATTAATTAAGTATTGAAGTAATGTGCGAGATAAACGGTGCAAAATGCCGCGCGCATTCATAACAGCATAACATCCGAGCGCAGTCAATATGAATATATATTTTTGTCAGTCTCGTGTTCTGCAACTCTTTCACGTATCCACTGTGTACGACTGTCTCTCATCATTCGATGAACTTTTGCACATTTTATCGGCACAAACCATAAATGAAAGTATGTGCACAATGTACAATTGAGTAAATGCCGCATTCACTGGTCCCCTTATCGCAATCACACAATCCAGTAAATTCGGTTTTACGCGCTTTACGTTCCCAAGCCGTGTATGTGGCGTTGGATTTTTGCGCGTGTTAAACATCGTAGTGTCGATATAGTTCGGGCGTTCAAAGATTCTTGTTACCAAGTCTGAGTTTATAAGCACGAAAACTGTACACAATACATACAGCACACACACACACACAAACACAGGCGCACAATTCGCGAACGAAATTTTGTGCACATGAAATTTGTGTCTGAGAGAAAGAAAGGGAAGAAAGAGACAGACAAAAACCAACACCACCGACATTGGTATTAACAATCTAATTAAAATTTGTTTTTGCCAAAAAAATGAAGAAGAAAACGCATGAAGAACATAAAAAAGTCGGATTTTGTATAGGAAACATTTCGGGAAGTGTTTTGGTTTTTCAACCGGATTCGGTTCACAACACACGCTTTGATAGATACAGCTTGATCAGTTTACTATACGCAGTTCTAACTTCACCGAAAAGAACCAGAGGTAGAGCAAGGGAAAAAATGAAGAACGAGCAGCATATTTGGCCGATTCCGATCCGATACGACAACGACGACACTAAAAACATAAAAAAATTCTACAACATCGTCGTTAGCTGCTTATCCAATTCGAATCGAATGGAATGGACGCGTTGGTTCTTGTGTAGGTAAAGAGTACAACGTTGATTCCACAAAATTTTACCAAATACAAACAGCCATAAATAATTTACTTATATCTTGAAGAAGTCGTATGTCTGCTATGTGTTTTAGCAAGAGAGAGAGAGAGAGAGAGAGCTCGAATGAAGCATTCGATGATCTAATGGTGTGTTGAGCGGCGCGTGTGGGGCATTCAGAGTTCTTTATACTCGTTCGATCTATATATTTATGAACCGCTCTGTACATACCGGCTGACTGTACATAAATGCTAACATGTGCATACATTCCAACTACAGACGAAGCGATTGCCTCTTTCTCGTTTCGATTCTCTCTCTCTCTCTCTCTCTCTTTCCGTCCGTTTTGCTCACTCGGAATCGAGCGCGCTCTCTGGTATCAGTGGATGCAGAGGAGAAGTTCGAAACCAACAGAAAAAAAAATTGCGTTGCGTGTTATATTCACAGAGCAGAGTAGCAACAGCAGCAGCGTCTGTACAATTTAGAGAGAGGCTCGCTTTTTCATTCTTTTGCTACGTGGCTCTGTATGTATTCCGTTGGTGTACATAAGCGGCACAGCACACCGCAACTCACTTCCCCGCATCCAGAGTCACAACAGCCGCAGCGGCATGCCGATAGTACTGTGTGCCGTACATAAGGGCCGTTTCGTCGCAAACACACACACACACCATCACCAGCACACAGCACGGTACAAACGGCCAACATGGAATGTCGGTTTGCGGCAAAACGTGTCTGCGTCAACGGCAAAAATTGGTTGATTTCAGAAGTTGGCTTAGCTGTCTCACAAAGTATTCACAAGTTAGTCGTAATTCAGGTCGCAACAAAAGGGGCAGTATCGCGGTAATCTGTGCGTTAAAACAGCTACATCTCAGAAGAAAAAAAATCATTTAGCAAGAAAAATTCCAATCAATTTGAATTTGATCATCATTCAATTCACTTCTTCTCAAAACAATAATTCTTATTTGTTTTGATTCAGAATTAAAGGAAACACGAAAAAAAAAAATTATTTCATCGAGCTAAAAATTTAATCAGATTTATTATCAACATTTTTTTACGCGATAGTAAATTCTTTTCCATTCAGATAAAATAACAAGTGTGAAATATTTTGGAAATTAATTTTTTCTCCAATACGAAACAATTTAAAAGAGAAATTTTTTTCAATAAAATTTTTTTTTCCACCATAAAAATTAAAGTTAGTCGAGAGAGTGAGTCCTGTTTTTTCCATTTTGATTTGCGAAACATTCAAAATCAACTCTTCGCTTCGCCAGTCGACACAGATTGTGAGCATTGGTTACACAGTAGAAAATACCGTAATAGATCAATGCATTTACCAGAAAAGCAGTTGATGTCGCCTTTTTTTGTCGATCGAATTGCGGTACAATTGAGAACGGAAAAAAATCCCAGGAACATATGAACCAGTGAAATTTTGCAGAGCAAGTTTAAAGCAAGTTACAAAAAAAAAGGTGTTGAAAAGTTTAAACACGTATACAAGACCAAGTTAAAACTGTTGAAAAAAAAAACTATTGAATTCCATGTGTGAGCAAAAAAAAAAAAACATTTGTTAAAAGTGTTCAAAGCTGAAAAAAAAAACTGAACTGTTACATTATTGTGTGTTCGAGACGCAGATCGAGAGATACAGCGAAAAATATTCGAGACGAATAAAAAAATAATAGTTGATTGAAGCAAGTTCTCTACAAGAGAGTCAACACAGTTGGAATAAGGCACAGGTAATTCAGTAATATTATCATTTCACATAACAGAAATTCTCTGTCATGGAAAATAAATATTTAAAGAGTGTGTAAAATTAAAACGCAACGTAAATTTTCATCATCCACACAAGTGAAGAGAACGAAATAACAACAACAGTGTTTAGTTGCCCTTATTTCGGCCGGCATTCGATAACATATTTTTTCGCGCGAGGGTCGATAATAATTTGTTAATAATTTATAAAACAAACAAACGGAAATTTGCAAAGAAAAAAAAATTCTCGATTAGAATAAGGATTTGACACACCAACAATTACATACAATCATAGGCAACACTATGATAACATTATCTCGTGTACTTTCGCTCAACAGATGTTAGAGTGCGTACTGTTTCTACTCTTTTTTCTTTCTTTTTCCACTTTAATATTCTTTTCGTGGTAGAACAGTAACGTGAAAAATAAGCATATAATTTCCCGTTTGGACCATTAAAAAAGCAATTTATTTTGGCTTGTCTCTGGATTGAAAAAAAAAAATTACGACGCGTGTTGTGATACTGTGTGTAAGAGTGTGCGTTTGTGCCTGTGCGTCGTCTCGCGAGTGTACGTGTCTATTTTTCTGCTACATTTATTACGTTTGCCAAAGGGCAATAATAGTTCGGTGTGTAAATGGGATTTCAATTCATCATTGATATTTGCCACAAGTGCGCACTGTGAACGGAACATACGTGGCACTGCGGCCCCGTACTGTTCTGGTTCGCTCTGCTGATATTCGTGGAATCAATTTTTCGTTTGGTGTTTTTTTTTTCACTTCTTTTCTTCTTCTTTTAAATGAAAATTTTCGACTTGTTCATTCTTGCATTGTGACTTTTGGTGAGCACGCTCTCTCTCTCTCTCTCTCTCTCTTTCCGTCTCTTGGTGTATGTGTATCTGTGTGCTGAATGCTGACAGTGATGTGAAAGAGTAAAAATGTAGGGAAAAAAAGTGATGCGGCATTGGGTTTTGCTGTTCCTTTCTCTTTTTCTCTCTCTCTCTCTCTCACGCGAACTGATCGATATTCTCGACTGCGCTCCGACTATCTAATTGCCGTTATGCACATTTATTTGAGTGAAGAAAAGAATATAAAAAAAAATGTATGCACACACAACGAAATGCTCAACCAATCGTATAGAAAATTACTAAAGTGTCTATAGATCACCGACAGACCCAGCACAATTCTTATTCAGTCGTTGCAATATGTTCGCTTTCACAATATGTGCAAATACAATAATTGCGTGCGGTTTCATTCACTATTTTATCGGTTGTTCCGTTTTGCGCATTCTTGCGAAATACACGATCGGCACCGCACATCTGAAAACAGCCCAACCACACACACACTCTCTTTTATATAGAATTATAAAATAAAATCATATTTTCAGGCGATGAGTGAACTTCGGAACGCAAAACAAAAACGCAGTGGCTTCCTTTCCTTTTGCTTTTAACTCATATATAACGGCACAATATTTTTTTTTTCTTTTCGGCAATATTCCCTGTGAAATTTTTGAATTGCTTCGAAGTACATAAAATTTATTACTCACACGGCCCATTTCAAATTGCCATGTAAATTGCTTCCCTTCGTCAAAGCGTGCACACAACAGACAACACCGAGAATCGAAAGTCAAAGTTCACTTCGACCAATATATACGCGTCGTTTTCGAGCGCAATTTTTGCCTTTGTGCTAGATTTATATCGCTGTTGTTGCGTTGTTGCTGCTGTTGCTACTAGTGCGGCCGTATAAAAAAGAGCACAAACTATGCATATCCGACAATCGGCTTGCAAATATTATTATAAGTAGTTTACGATCTGGCACTGCCGATGTAGAGCACGTTCAAAGCAACGATTAAAAATCAATGAATATGAAATAATAAAATAAAAAAATATTTGTGGCTATATTTGAAGCGAATACTGCCGGTAGTTGTCGATTCAATGTTATTAATAATATGTTCTCGCACATATATACACATTTACTCATTCGACGCGCCAGAAAAAAGAAAATAAACAAAACAATGCACGGGCAGAAAGCGGCAGGAGAGAGGAGTAAAACAAAAATGAAAAAAAATAAGAAATAAAAACAACGAAAAAGAAGAAGTGTAGAGGAGAGCAAACGCGAGAGAGAGAGAGGAGAAAAGCACACACAACACTCAATTCAGCCGGCAATATGACGTGCAACGTGCATGAAAACCGCTTTTTGCCACATTTATTATACATTCACATCGTTAATTCTCTTTTGTTGTGGTTGTCTCGCTCTTGCCATCGCCCACAAATCGAAGCGACTCTGTATGGAGAAGCGCGCACACACGATGATGCGCGACGGAGAGAGAGAGAGAGAGCGAGCGAGCGAATGTGAGAGTACGCGCAATAAAATGCCATAACACACGATGAGTAAACATACAAATGCTTCGCTTTGCAATAATACAACAATTGAAGTATTATTTGTTCATTTTCTAAGCACCAACACTGACACCGTCTCATGATGGTGTGCGATGTCGATTACCAACGACGACGATGATGACGACGTTACGGCGACCAGGGTTAAAATCGTCAAATCGACAATAATAATAAACAATGAGACGAAAATCGTTGTGAAATTGGCAAATAAAATGTAATACATAAGCAAGCGCATTTTTAAGCCGACACACTGAACAAAAATAGAAAAAGAAAAAAACACAAGAATCTCCAGGGAAAAAAGTTGTTTCGATGAAGGAAGCGCATAACTCATTCTAACATTTGCACAAGTGTATCATGTTCAAGTGCGGCTGCATGAGTCGTATATATTAAATTACGTCGATAAAATGGGAAAAGGTGTGTTATTCAACGGTCTCTCACTCGGCCAATATGGAATTCTTGCACCGCATTCCTCCCTCACTTCATACATCATTGATGAAAAGATGAATTCTAAACTTTGTTCATTGTTCGCCAATTCACTAGAAATCGACGAATTAGCAACTCTATGTGTTTTGCTTGCTACCACTATTTATTGTGTATGCGTACGCGCGGTATTTGTCCAAGTGTGTCGCTGTGTGTGTGTGTGTGTGCTGGTTTGTTGCCAATGAATTGGTGTTAATCATCATTTAATAGATACTCCACAACCTCGCCAGCCACCACACAATTTCCAGCCATTTCTGGCTCTGGCAAACGGAATTATCAAATGTGAACATTGGAAAAATTGGAACTAATTTAAGGCAATTTTCTGCTTTTCCTTTGATTTATTTTGTATGAGTTGAGTGTTCCGCGTCCGAGCCGCACAATTTTAATCAATCGCCTCTTAATCTTCATATTGCTTCATATTTCATGAGGCGAACGAATGCCGCCCTGTGATTCATACCAAACCTTATAGAAACGACAAGAACATTTTGCTGTGTTTCTTATTTGCGTTCAACCGATTTTTATTTCATCACATTGTGTATATAATATTCGGGTAAGCGTCGTTCATTCGCTCGTTCGCCCGGTCGCTTGCTCTGTTTTATATTGTACTACGATTTCCTATATATGCGAGACTATATCGACAGTAGAAAATAAAACGCACAATACCGGTGTCTGGCATTATAGCTCTGCATAGACATAAGCACTTCTATAGGCATAACGAAAATGGAAATTTTTCGCTACGTTATAATGTTTTCGAAAGCGCTACAGGTTTTTCCACTCGCATCAGACTGACATCTTTGTTGTTGGTGGATGTTAATGCGCATTTCATATCCAAATAATACGACCGCTGTTGTTACTGCTGCTGTCATTGTTGTCAAAGCACCTAGAATTTCGGTTCAGTCTTTCAGTGTACCGCATTTGTGTCGTGTTTTTATTGAATACAAAAAATTCATTCCACCCACAAATGTTTCAGTGTTCTTCTTCACTTTGATTTAATCACATTTAAACACTATAATAAATGATGGATTTTTCACTCGATTATCTTATTCATCAAGTTGAATTCCGTCTAGCAACTGTGCATTTTAAAATTCCATGAATTAAAAAAAGAAGAAAAAAAAACGGTATTTATTGCGTTCGATTTTCCCGATGAGTTTATTCAAGTAGGTTTTTGAACAATATTAAACGCCCAATACCCATTCTGTAGCGGTCAATTGCGTTTTTGTTTGTGTGATTTGTTTGCGTGATGAATTCGTTCAAACAGAAGAAAGAAATATAATCGAATTCGATATTGAAGCAGCGGCAAAACATACAATACAATTGTTTAGTTTCAATAGAGATCCAACGTCTGTGCTATGGTCGCATCCAATTTAGAACCAGAACGTTTAACTGTTTTCTATTGTCGTGCGCGTCTCACACAATGGCAAAGGCATACACATAACAATAGGCATAGTGATAATGGGATGATGACAGAGTCGCACGAACGTACAATGCGAAACGACGACGATGATGACGACGACGACGTCGATGAGCGAAAGAGAAAGTCCTATGCTAAGTAAGCAACAACAATACCGCAAAAATGCAATAGAGCACTGTGAATGTGCACTGCACTGCACTGTCCATCTTAATTACGAGATTCTTGCCTCGAGCGAAACGAGCAATAAAAAACACACAAATATTTTTCTATGTAAATTTAGCACAAAGAATTTCGCTCTTTGGAATTCTCGGCCCTGTGTTTTTATGTGCATTTTCTGCTGTGTGTGTGTATGTGTGCGCTCGCTTTGTTTGTCTTTATTTGACTTGGCACTTTTCGTGTGAGTTATCGTGTAGTGGTTTGTTGGCAGCGGTTGGCAGTGCGACAAAAAAAACTACAATCTTTCTTCGTTTGTTTGGTGCTGCGTTTTTTTCTCCTCCTCTCTCCTTCTCTCTCTTTCTCGACGCTCAGTTATTTCATTTGCATAAAGAGTGTATCGTATTGAATTTCGCTGCAGGTCGCGTAATTTTAGCTTGAACTTCGTTTGGACGAAAATTCTCAATTAATGAGGCGTTTTGTTACAAACGTTTCTGGATAATTTGCGCTTTGCTATTGAATTCGCTTTTTTTCCTCTTTCTGTTGTTGATGTT